TGCGTGTGTGTGTGTGTGTGCGTGCTAATATGTGACTTATGTGTCCCTGGACCAGTAAAGATCCATCTGACTGCAGGATGGCCCGCGGGTCAAGGACGTGCACCCGCTGACATCGTGCGCTTGTGTGTGTACGCTGTGTGCGAATGTGTGTGTGTGTGTGTGTGTGTGTGTGTGTTTTCCTGATGAAATAAGAGCAGACGATGGAGAGTCATTAAAGCTCGAAGTGAGGTTGGACATTACCCAGAATTCCAGTTCATTCCGCTACATTTTGTGAACTTTTGTCACGAGTTTGATGACAAATCAAAGTGATTTTGTAATATCGACTCAAACTTTGCTTGATTTACATCCCCAAGTGATTTTATTGATTTCTTTTCCGTCTCTTATCCGGGATGAATGGTTACATGTCATAAAGCAGGCGGCAGATGTGATGTTAATAGCGGGTTTGTCCTTTAGGAGCGGCCATTTTTCGATGGAGGGGGGGACCGGCGCAGGCGGTTTTGGGCGGTGGGTAGCCTGATGCGGGAGCGCGAGGGCACCTTTATCAAGACACTTTGATTTAACCAACGGAGGCGGCGGCGATCCTTCAGACGCACAAACCCTGGGCTGAGTACGGTGGGGGTCAACTATTGATCCGATCACCTGATTGTGATCGTTTATCTTCCAGGCAGGTCGCATGCCCGGTGGGTCTCGCGCTTGCTTGGCCTCTCTCGCCTGATTGATTGCCATCTGATCACCTAAGCAAACGCAAGCCGATGGATTATCCATCAGTCACTCAATTACCGAAGTGGAAGGGTGGTGCTCTTCTTCTTTTGCGGGCCTACGCTGGAACATATCCAAGTAGAAATATTTCAATTTATGTATGTGTCGATTGAAAGGGTCCAAAGCAAGGTTATAAGAGTGTTGGATTTTTTATTATTTTTTTTTTTTCCGCTTTGACTTTGGGTTAGTTTGTTTTTTTTAGAACGGGTTAGATTAAAAAAAAGGTAATTCCCCACATTGAATTGTGATCGGGAAAAAAATGGCATTGAAATAGAAGATAGGACATGAATTTCTAAAATCCAAATCAAAATGTAGCAGACTCAAACAAATTTCAAAATGTCACACATAAAACTTCTAATTGAAATTGTAAATGAAGTTACGTGTTACAAGTTATCAGGCAGTCGCGCAATTCAAGAACTCGACTTTTGTTGGTTGGTAAAGATGTTTCACCTGGCATGAGGTCATTGTGCACTTTACCATGACGACAGTATGTATGTACTTCCACTTAAGTACATTCGTCCCCTCTGGCCATGGCCAGTGCTCAGCTGACTCAACCTCATTAAAAGTTTTCCCTGCTGACAGCTGACTTCTTCCCGACGCTGTAAACATGCCCGCGCGGGGCCTCGCGATGTCTAAAGCTAGCCGCTTGACACAACTCAACTATTTAGAGCTCAATTTTCATTGAGTTCCGCAAACGCCGGGCAGAATGGTTTGGTGTGCGTGCCGCCAACTGATTAAAAAAAAAAAAAAAAGCACGGCTTTCATTGGCCACGGTTGTGACCACTCCCACAATTGCGCAGCCCTCACTTTTGCAGATGTGCTGCCACGTAGAAGGGGTGAGTGTGGTGACGTTGCATAAGTCACTCACGCCATGACGATGACGCTGAAGTCCAGCCAGTTCCAAGGGTCCCGCAGGAAGGTGAAGCGTCCCACGCAGAAACCCCTCGCCAAGATCTTGATGAGAGACTCAAAAGTGTAGATGCCCGTGAAAGTGTACCTGGAGGTCAGGGGGGAACCACTTGATACGACACTTGAAAGAATCCAGAGCAGTGGTTCTCAAACTGGGGTCAGCGGCTAGTTACTAAAAAACCGACACAGCTTTTGTTTGTGACAAAAAGAATTTTAGCTAGGTTTCTGGTCGCTTCGGTGCTTATATTGTCAGTCAAAACGTCGGGCAATCTGTGAAACTCCGCTTTGAAAATGGCCGTTCATGAATACAATATTGGGATTTTTATATTATGGACTGAGATAGTTCCCTAAAATATCAACTTGATCGCAAGAGTTTGAGAACCTCTGGTCTATGGAATATCATGTTCGGGTCACATGTACTCACTCGACATATTTGGCCCAGGTGGCGGGCTCCGACATGGCCATGAAGCAGCAGTTGGTCAGGATGGTGCACATGATGAACAAACTGAACAACGTGACGCACTTAAGGAACACAACAAAATGGCCGTCCTATCATTCGCAATCCTCGATATCCAGCTTGTAGTCCGGGAATTACGACATAACTGTCTTACTAGTCAGACTTTTTCCTTACTGAATGACATTTCACACAGTTTGGCATACGAGCAGCGCAGCTAAATGTTACGAGTGAGGCAAAATTGTGTATTGGTTGACACTTGTGTGCCACAAGTGAAGCGCAAGTTAACTTGTAGAATTTTAGCGAGCACCGCTAGTGTTTTTTTGCATACGAGTAAAGTAGAACAAATGATACAAATGAATGCGAAATGACTTACTAGTACACAGATCTGAAGGATTTCGACTCAATGCTCGTCTGGGTTTTCCATGTTGGCAGCGAAATGCCACCTCCACCTGACTTGTTGTGGAGGAAGTGGGCGGGGGCGGGCCGAGCTGTCAATCAGGCTAAAAATGAATCTTAATTACGGTCATTTAGCACGAGGAACAAACTCCTCGCGTGAGACTTTGAGCGGCGGCCGGTCAGATAAACCACGCGGGCGGCTAATTATGGCATAATGACAGGTCGCCGTCAAGGACCTCCCGGGCCACCGTAGCTGTGATGTCATTACGCC